ACTCTATATTACATTGTAATACTTATATTATTTGAATTCTTGTAACCCTCTGTATGACTTGTATTACCTCGTAATACCTGTGATACCATGTAGTACTAGCTATATGCACGCCAGACCACGTCTTGCGTAACAGGCTTCGCGATCTTCGCGATATCTTACGAAACACTGTTACGCTGCGACGCGCCTGGCGCACACATAGCTAGGCCTGCGGCGCTGACACCCGAGACGAGTTAATGGGAGGGTACTCGGGAACAGGGCCTTCCATCCCCAAAATTTGACATACTCACAGAATTTGTCGGGGACTTATTGGCTGAGCGATTAGCGAAGCCTACGTAGCCAGTGAGAAATGAGTGTCCGAATCGACCTCGAATCGACGTCGACTGCTCCAGAAGTTATCGTTAGTCCTGAGACGATGATTGTCGACGAAATTTGGATGTTACTCGAGAAGTGCCCTATGACACGGCTTAACTCAGCTTATGTGTCTTACAGTGTTAAAGAACGGTTCCTGGTACTAAATTGCAAGAAATTTCGGTAATTGTCTCGCCCTGGAGTCACTCAAGTATACCATCGGAAAGGTATTTTTCAGTACAATCCTGAACTGGTTTTATGTATTGGCGCTCGAGTCTAGTTTTCCTCAAAATTAAATAAATATGTGTCCGGTATGCGTCGCCGCTAACCTTCAGATGCACTTTAAAGACGGCAGAATAACTCACGTTTTCGGCTAGTCCTGACGTTGATCGGGGGGTTTTAAATCATTGCTCCTGCATCAAAGACTACGCCTGATTCATAATATCAGGCTTCCTTTCTCTACCGTTGCTTAGATCATAGTTTTCACACTTCTCCAAAAATGCCTTCTGCTTGGCGTGGTCCTACCCAGAAAGGGGGCCACGTACCGGTGAGGCAGTCGGGCGGACGGCGGGCTCGGTTGCCAACAACAATGGGCAGTTCAGAGAGGCGCAGGCGCGGGTTAATAGTGGTACCAACAGAATGTGGGAAGATTGTGGCTGCCCGTCCTCCATTGAATTTTACCTTCTATTTAACTATAAATATTGCGTTGAACGTTCCGATAAGTGGCTGTTAGCTGCCCGTTTTCGAATAAATTTTCCCTTCTAACCGGCCGTCTCCGGATGATTTTCCCTTCTTTTGAGCACGCCTTACGATTCAGCGTGGGTGCGCTCCGACAGCAACAGCAACTGTTGTTGACAGCAGCAGTCTTGGCAATGAACCCAGGTATTCTGACTTACTTGTTGCGTAACAGTGCTCACTGCTTGGAGCACTTGCTCTGCTTGTTGAAGGCATTGATCATTGATGTGTCAAAAAGGGCTGAAGAATTAAGTGTATGTTTGTCTTCATAATATGTATAAAACATGTCGTAAACCTCTGGATCCACAGTCAAGATTGACTCACTATCCTCCAGGAATGGAAAACGAAATTAAATTAAATTTTAAAAGGTCGAAATCATGCTATTTTGTATGTAATAAAATTATTCTCGAATTAAAATTAAACCGTAAAATTAACCATTAAATTAATTAATATAATTTCCATTATTCCGGTGGGAGATTAAATTTCATTCCAATGGCATTCCAATTCTCCAACGAACTATATGCACATTGCAATAACTGTCAAAAGTGATCAACAATTTTGTGCACACGCCTCGCAAGGTATGAACACAACCCGAGGAAACAAGCAGGCCCGCCCTTCCGCCAAACGGAGTTGCTAGCTCCACTTCGCTGCGCCGGCAACTCCGTTCGGCACGGGCCGGGCCTGCTTGGCCTGCAGGCGGCGATGGTCCATTTCAGTCTCGCGATTTACTGAAGAACATGTAATCAAATAAATAATCTGACCGGTCACTGAGCATATTTGAGTAAACTAAGCCTTTCGGCGGGCGGCCTGCGGCCCTAGAGATTTGCTCCATGGGCATGACAAAAGACTGTAACGGGGCAACACCGTGACTCCACCCTACCCTTCTGCTTTGCTTAAGGGGGCAGACCTGTGAAAATCACCAAAAATGCCTCAAAAAATTCTTTGATCTTTCCTCTTTCTAATGCCGCAAAGCGGATGTTGGAATTCGAAAAATTGCGCTCAGGAGAGCCCTAAACGTGCTGCGGGTGGCCGGGTGGCTGGAACGCTAGGGCTCACCTGGCCGCTCAGGACAGAAGACACGACGAGGAAGAAGTCCTCTAGAGCCCTGGAATCTTTTAGGACCAGTTCGGTTAGTTGCCCTGGCTTTTGGTTCGTCGCTATACATAGGTACTGAAAACTTTAAATTCGTTTTTCTCGAAATGCCTTTTTGCAAACGGTGTGCAACATCCAGGCCGTAGTTTTGGAGCTGGAGCTATCGGCTTAATATTTGGCTCGAATGTTGTCCATTTGCACCAGGCGTTTCGTTGTCCAGGAGTGACCCCATAGATACCCTGAAATTTGCAGACCTCTAGCTCATCTCCTTCCTCTTACACGGACGACGGACAGACAGGCAGACAGACACGACAGTGGTTGCAAAAGCCCCCTTTA